GGGCTGCTCTGCCGCGGCTTCCCCCCGCTCCTCCCTGCCTTCGTCGCTCTGCTGCCGAATGTGTTCATCCTCATGCCCTGCGTGTACCCCCAGTCCCGCGCGTGCCTCGCTGCTGCCCGGCAAGCATCCCTCATTCTTCTGCTGTGTGCCACTCTCCTCCGAGCCGGCATCCTTTCTTCTCTACAGGCATCCCTTCCGTCTGTGCCCGCGTCCCTGCTCCCCTGCAAGGCTGTGTCCTGTCTCCCTTGCACGGGCAGCCCTGGCTGCCTCAGCCCTGCCACGCAGACAGAGGAGCTCTGGGCTTGCCTTGCAAATTCCCCTTGTCCCCTCAAGAGCAGCCCTGCGGGCTGATGCCGAGGGTGTCCAGGGAAAGCTGGTGCTGGTGGGCGCATTGGGCGAGGAGCTGCCCGGAGAGCAGAGCTGGGGCAGGCTCAGGGCCTGGCTCCTGCAAGGAGTAAGAGGAGTGCAGGTACCTGTCCCTTGCACCCTGTTACTCTGTGCTCCTGGACAGAGAGCGTTGCCATGGCCTTACCCCGCACGGCTTCCAGCTGTCCAATTTGGGATAGGTGACCTCATAACTGTCCTAATTTCTACATTTGCTACACAGACGTTTGCTCTGAAAATTGCTAGAAGGGTTCAGGAAATCAAGGGCCTTAGGGACGCTTTTGCGTAAAAGTGGTGGAGAACAGAAGTTAATCCAAATAGGCCTTGAACAGAGAAAGAAAAAGCAAACACCTGCTGTGGGAAGAAGGAGAAAAGGAGATGAGGCCAGAGCTGTACTTCAGACATGGGCCAGAAAAAGGGGAAGTTGTTTCCCCACATGGGAAGCTTCACACTCTTGGCCGATGCTGGCACATCCACCAGGACCAGGAAAAAACATGGGTTCAGATATTAATATCTTCTTCTGGTTTTAGGAGAAAAGCAAATAGGCATTCAGGCCCAAAAACTCCTTTCCAGGCCAGAAGGATGAGACATTTCCATGCCTGAAGGTAACAGCACAAGGCAATAAATTCATATAACAACCAGGAACACGAATGGAAGGTGCTAGCTCTTGTATAATGTAAAGCACATCTCATATTTTGCTGTTTAACTATTTTCCATCAGTGTCAGAAACTTGCCAAAAGGTGACAGTTACCTAACAGACTATTAATAGATAAGGCACACACCAGCATTAGATCATTCTTTCTCTTCTCTTTCAAACTTAAATAAATGTAGGGCATACTTAACTAGAACTGCCCAGTGAAATTGATTGCAATGAGTACTTAGTTCTCTGTGTTGGCAGTGTTACAGGTGCACATTTCTGGATCTGAATTGCACAGTCGTATGTTATGAATTTTTATATGAATTATTTACAGAAAGGCTGTCAGTCTGTTCATTATAACATAAGGTAAAACACATTTTGTTGTCAAAACTGCCAGAAAAATTCATTTTGCAGTGTTTTTCCAAAGCTAAAAAATGACACTGTCTCATAAAGTTGTCCCACATGATGGAAGCGACATGGCTCACAGTGGGAGTTTCCTCATCACATTAGCAGGAGCAGCTTCCTGAGAAGAATCAGACTCTCTTCTCATCATCCTTTTATTCTTTCTGTACAGTTGGATTTCTCATTGGATATCAGAAACTCTTACATATTCATCAGTTTATTAGGCTGGGTCTTGGAGATAGGAGTGGTAATTTTAGCCTGATTTAAAAGATTAGGTCAATTTTACGCTCTGTGGTGGTAGTCCTGTGTTTAGATTAGACCAGTACTTCACACTGCATTACAAACACAACAGAGCTGGGAATATTTCTGATTTTGATTCTGGATTTTAGCAAAAAAACCTGTATGTTGGATTTCTTCTTGTCCCCTTGTGCTAGCATGCCAACATAAAACAACAGGAGACATGAAATCATCTTTGTGAATCTTGACTATTCAGAAAATGCAGATTACACATTTCCATGCCCTGCTTTTGTCTAAACCAGTAGTGTGAAACAGGCAACCCTTTGTTCTCTAAATGAGGGAGTAAAGTATTAAACATATTGAACATTTACCAGTTGCCTCTTCATTAGGATTTCCCCGTGTCTTCTTGCACAAAGAAAGCTGAGCTATAGTAGACACATCCGTTAATTCAGCTACAACCACTGCTTAGTACCCTGATACAGTCATCAAGCTCAGTTTAATATTTTTATTTTGTACTCATTGTAATTACCATATTCTGAGTAAGATGTCAAAACCTGGAGTTTCATTTACACATAACACATGGTGAACACCTTGTTTGCAAAAACACACAACTGCATGTTCTTGGGTGATTATTTATGGTTAAAAATACTCTGATATTGGTTTCCCTTTCCCATGGCTTTGTGAAAGAGGGGACAGACTTTTTCAAGATCACCTGAGCAGGCAGTTGGATTCTTATTTCACTGCATCCACGGGTGATGTAACTGGTGAAAGGTGAAATTTGGCAAAGGTCACAGGGGGAAACCGGTCCCCTTAAGAAATGTCCCATGGAGATTTTAAACAGAGACTGAAGCACAGAGTGGATCTGGAATACTGGTGTTGGCCAATTCCTGAAATTGTATTTGGGACACTTTTACAGCCCTTTCAAAAAGGTTGCTATTTAGAAAATACTTTTTGAAGACTTGTTTAAACAGTGCTTCTTAATTCGCTTCTTCAGCACAGTGCAGTGAATTTAACAGGTGTTAGAAAATGCACTGGCTACAGAGCCACGATGGAAGGACACTGCCTGTTGGATTTTTTTAATTTGTAAGGATATAGAGTTCTATAAATGCATTTTATTGCCATAATAATCACCAGGCAGATGGAGGGTTGGCCCTGTGTCCAGTATGACAGTTACTGATTCCAGTGGAAGCTGGATGGGCTCTTAAGAGACTTTGCCACTGCCAGGTTAATGTTAGTGTGACTCCACACCTAGGGAACTGAAATAAGTTTTTACTGTTTCTGTTGAAATGTAAGCTTCTTATCTGGCACTTTAGCGATGCTTCTCCTGTATTGCTTTTCCATTGTGTAAAAGTTAAATCATTGCTCTTGGCTGGGTTACTGAACAATGCTGATATTCCACGGCTAAGATATCTGCCCTGAGATAAAGATCATCACAGACCTAAGTGAGGGGTGGTGACAATCAGGAAGAAGGAAAGGAAGCCTGACAGGGCAATTAAAAACTTGTGTCTCTGATGCACAGTATGACAGGGAGAGGGAGAAACTGCAAAACACTCTAGGAGTTCATAGGGGTTCAGAAGAGGCCTTTAAGGAGTTGGTGTGAAATTCTTCCATTAGAATTAGGCCATCTGTTCTCAACTAGACTTTTGTTTTGTTTTCTACAAACACTTACCCACAACATTAACAGAATATAAGAACTAGGACATTAATGTCAAAAACACTTGTCATCAATCAAAGAGAACAACTGCGTGGTGCTGTGAATAGATTAATAATCTGGAACTATTTTTTTCCATTGCAAGAAAGCAGATGGGAATCTGAATAATATTTTGAACTACAGAAAATTGAATTTACCTCCCACTAGAAACATTTACTCAAATAATTCTGTGCACTTCTTTACTTAAAAACAACTTTTGGGAGATAAGTATCAGTAAGTTTATCCATCAAGTTTGTCCAGCGCAGGGAATCCCTATTCAAGGTGTAAAGAAGTGTCTGAGACTCCCCAGGTGAGTGCAGATTAGACACCAAAGTTAACAGTGGGCCAAACTGTGTGCAGGCTGCCTTCCCTCTCACTGTCCTGGCTGCCAGATAACACATCACCTCATGGCATTCTGGACTGTGTTGTGAAACCACCAGTGCCTCCTATTTAATCTGCTCTTGCTTTGGCAAAGGAGCTGCCCAGGGTCTCATGTTGTCTCAGTCCTGCAGTGTATGTTTCATTTGTTTAAAATTGTGTTCTTTCTTGTCAAGGAGAGTTTTTCAGGGATTGCTCATGCAGCATTACAAGAGCTCTTCAGTTCCAACTCATCAGTGGCAAGCCAGAGTTACACATGTGATGCCTTTCTACAGCCCTCAACTACATTTTTTTTATGGGTTGAGCTTATAGAGGACTCACTGACCTTGGAAGCACATGGGAGAATGAGTGACTTAAGTTTTTATTTGCAGTTCATATCAACAGGGTGAACGCCCCTCCTTCACCATTGTGGACCAAAAACCAAAAAAAACATGGTGATGAAAAAGTGGTTTTGTCTCTTCTCTTTACTTGATTTTTCATCCCATCAAGACCAGATCCCAAAAAGTTACTGAATCCATGTTTCCTTTCTCCTAGCTAAGGTACAAGCAACTGCTTACAAAGAAAATCACGTTTCCAGAGAACATGAGATACAGAAGGTCAAACACAGGTACTTTTAGGCAGAAGAACCAAGCAGAATTAGCTGTAAATTGTGGAAAATGCAGTCTGTGCCATGTAGCTGACAGCTGGTCATTTTTTATCTGGAGTGACACTCTGGTGTGCAGTAACCTGGTTATTAACAGGGCCTGATGTTCTGCATGCAGCTTCTTATTATTAAATCCTGGCAGTGTGCTCAGAGCTGGACAACATTACCCTGGAATGAAGTTTTTAGGAGGAATTTGAAGGGTGAAATGCCTGGTGGTTTGGCAAGATAGGCATGGGTCAATATTTTTTGCAATTGGTTTTGCATTGGGGCAAGACTGGAGGCAGGAAGAACAACAGCTGCTAATGCAGGCAATTCTGTATGGTGCAGAGAGCTTGGGATGGATGAACAGGGACATGTACACGACCTCCAAGGAGGAATCTTAGTGCTGACCTTTGTGCTGGTCAGGCTTGCAGCAATGGTCTTGCTTTCATTTGTCTCTCCACTCTGCCTTTCTTTGGCTGAAGTCAAAATGAGGTACACAGAGACTGCATGGCAGCTAACAAATTATATTCACCTGCTGCAGGCTGAGAGCTGTAGGCTGTGCTTGATAACTGAGGAAGTGTTCTTGCTGCTCAAGGACAGTTTTTCTTATGTTCCTAATACTTACTGATTTGTTCATGTCCTCACCAAAAGAGTTGTCAAGCACAGGAACAGGCTGCCCAGGGGATTGGTTGAGTCACTATCTCTGGAGAGATTTAAAAGTCTGTAGATGTGGCACTGAGGGACATGGTTTAGTTGTGGGCTTGGCAGCATTTGGATAACAGTTGGATGTGATGACCTTAAAAGTTTTTTACAACCTAAATTATTATGTGATTCTAACTAATTTGGACTTTTTAGTCCTTTTAGTCTGTAACATACTTGCAAATATTTTGTTCTCATTTTCTCTGGGCTTTCTCCTTGATTTTTCTTACAGTTTTGCCACTCTAACTTTTGCCTCCTCCTTCCTTCTAGTCATGCTGGTACAAAGTTCCTTCAGCTCCTACAAAACTCAGTCATCCCACAACTTCCAAAATCTATGGTGAGCGGAAGTGAAGCAGGGCTGTCTACATTCCTGCAAGCCCAGGGCTTGGGAGATGGTGTGGATGTGTGCCAGTGCTAATAAATAGGGAGCTGTTAGTGACTGTGTAAGGCAGGAAAATTGCAGAACAAGATAAGACTCACAGAATTCTCTTACGCTGATTTTGGATAAGGATATTTACCCAGGAGAAAAAAAAAAAAAAGAAGTTATCCTTAAAAGCAATGTTGTCTCTCCAGCTGCGTGTGTGTCTGTGCAGGAGCTGTGCCATGTGTGCCAGGAGCAGGAGCCTGTGTGGGGCTGTAGCTGTGGCACACTCGCTCCCTCGCACCCTGCCTAGCACAGAAGTTGCTTTGCAGTCTCACAGCCCAGGATGTGGCTGTTCCCAGCTCTGAGGCCAGGCTGCACCACACCTGCCAAACCAAACATGCTGTGTAGCTCCACTTGGGCCCAGGACACATGAAACCCAATGCAGTGGCTGGGACAAACGCAGAGGAGAAGTTTCTTTAACAGATCCAGCAACTGCAAGGCTTTGTTTGCTTCTCTTGTGCTCTGCAGAGCAGAGATCAGGCCAGGTGCCTTGATCTGAGCAGATCCAAGGAAGCTGCTTTGCCCTGAGTTGCATCTCCAGGTAGCTGAGTGCTGCTGGGGCAGGGTTGATCCTGCTGGTCCAAACCACGAGGCTCTGGTGGTGTACCAGCCTCCTCAGGATATGTGGGTGCATGGACTGGTGCATTAGCCCACATTTACATATCCAGGCTTTGCATTTCCTAAACTTTATTGCCAAGGACACAGCAGGAGAAAGAGGACTGCTTGAAAGTAATGTGACTTTTGTGGTAATTGTGTGTGGGATGGGGCAGGAGTTACAGGGACAAGGCAAACAAAAATCAGTCAAGGTGGTTCAGGTTCATGTCTACTGCTATAGGATATGGCTAATTACCCTCTCCAAGGCACTTCCAGCCTTATCTCCTGCTATTGTCATTCCTGTTTATTGCAGGAGAGCAAATTTCAGTGATGGTCAGTGGGATTTCTCTCCTTTCTCATCCATCTGTGCAGGATCCCAAGCAGCAGAGAGGGTGCAGCCACAGTGCATGGATCAGCTGTGTGTGCAATGGAGTTAACCTCATTTCCAGCCCCGTAAGTGCTGCTTAGCTCCATCCCCCTGGCACAGGAGCATGGATCAGTTCTCCAGGCAGCAGCATGCAGAGGGTTGCATCCAGCTGGAAGCGATGTTTTCGCCTTCCTGACCTCACCACTGTACTCCCTGTGCTTAGCCCTTGCTGTTCTAGTTTTTGCTGATCTAGACGTGTTAAAATTAATTCTTCTCTTGGTGCCTGACTCTAGGCAAGGTTATTAAATAGCTGGGTCACTGCAGTCTGTGACTGTCAGCTGCTGAAATCATTTGCATTGGGCTGTGGGCTGGTAACCCACAAAAGTACAAATATCCATTTTTGATGACTAACCAGCATCAAAACTCCTGCAAGCTTAATTTTAAACACAAGGAGTATTTTATTCAAAGAGAACAAGAAAATGCACTTCCATGTTGTAAAATTATTTGCCTTCATGTGTCAAGAGCTCAGCTCAATTTCCCTCTGCTGTGCATTCTGGAATCATTACCACACTTATTTCCAGTAGTGCAGAAAGTCTTTTCCATATGCCTCCACTTCAGCCAGTAGTCTGTAGCTTGTGTTTGATGTCTCCTAGGCAGGAGGAGATGAGGACAAACCAACAGCTCTGCTGTGATGACAGCGACTAGAGAACATAAAACCTTTCTCCAAAAGCAGTCTCCGTCTCTGAAAGGAAGCCCAGTCCTGCAGGGAGTGCTTCAACCCCTCTGAGGAGTGTGCAGCCTTGGGACAGTCTGTAAAAGGAGCTCACAGAAAGCTTCTCTGTGTCCCAAAAAATCATCTTTGGCCAGAGCAGCATTGTACCTCATCCTGGCTGAGGGGAGAGGGCTCAGCAATGAAGAAGATGCATAAAAAGTTAAAAATTCATCTGGACATAATTTTTTTCCAAATTCGTAACAAAACGTGTTTTGCATGGATATTTGCTTTCACAGCATTGAAGGACATTTGTGCCAAATAAGATGGGTGAGCACAACCTTCATCTTCTGCATTCACATGGTTTGCATCACAGGACTTTTAACTGGACACTGTCCTGGCATTTCACATTCCAGCCCAACAACAGTCTGCAGGTTCTGACCAACGTGCTCTATAAAAAAAAGTAATTTACTGGAAAAGGACAGTAAACAGCTCATAAAAAGTGTCTCTCAGCATCAGCTGCAGACAGGAATTCCTCCCAGGAGCCCCTCTTGTTCCCTTTGTTGGAGCTGATAGGGACGTGCTGCATCAAAGGGAATTCATAGCTGTGACACAGCTTAAAAACAGAAGAAAATAATACTCTTGTGGAAAAAAAAAGGGTTCTCTAGTGGGCTGGGCACAGGCAGAATTAGAAAACAGGCTGTGTTGTCCTCAAGCAAGGGCATTCCATGTCCTCCTGCTTCTGCAGCAGGCACTGACAGTCTTTTTAAGAGTGGCAGATGAGAGCAGTGAGGCCCTCGACTCCTGTGTGTGGATACCTGAAATGACCAGGCCCTGGCCATACTGACCTGTAGAGAAAGGACAAATTGGTTCTTGGAAGGGCACTGTGGCCCCTGCTCTCAGCATGCCAAGCCAAGGATATTTCCCAAACTATCTGCCCCAGGCACTTTATCACCTCCATGTTTGAGGGGATTTCTTTTGTGTCCCTGCCTCAGCAGCCACTCCAGCAGAAGAGCCCAAAGCTCTATTTCTTTAGAAGTGCAGCTTTTTGACAAGGGCTGTATGGTCCAAGACTCCTCCAAGGGCCAGGCTTGCAGGGGAGGTGGCCATGTGCAGCCCAGCTCCAGTCCCCAGGAGCTGCCTTGCAGGGTGGTGTCTGCAGTTTCAGCTCTCCCAACCTCAGCACCTCCTGTGCTCCACATGGAGACAAAACAGGGTTAAGAGCTGTCAGCACCAAGTACCCTCAGAGAGCAGGGCACTCCTCTGGTGGACAAAGTAACTTATATCTGTAACATATATCCCACAGAGATCTCATCTCGTTTTTGACTTGGCAGAGGGAAGAGCTTTGATCTCTTCCTGCTTTTTGTTGCTGCTGTTGTTTTAGCATTATCTGTCCTCACTTTTTGTATTTTTGATGTTCCATCCAGACCAACATCAACTGCTGTGACAGCTATGAATAAAAGGCTTTCTTCTAGAAGTAGGGCAAGCAACATTTGGCTTTAGTTTTGATTTTGTCCCAAACACTTTTACAATTGACTTTGTTTTTGTGTTCACACATGTATCTCATAACAAATTTGAGAATGAAGCACTGCCAAAGGCATTAACACACAAAAACATTTTTCAGCCACTAAATATTCCCTCCTGATCTGTGGAAAGAGTTTTTTCCCAATCATTATACGCTTATGGTCCATCAGATTGGTACTGGAAGAAAATCTAGGGTACCTTTCTCTGTCACATAGCTACTCAGTGGCTCATATTTGCTTTATCCTTTGAAACACACCATTTTTGCTGGTGATGACATCAATACTGTCTGATGGGTTTGTCAGGCCAGCTAGCCATGAAGACAGCTTGTAAAACCTGACCTTGTTTACAAGTGATTGTAAAGGTCTGTGTTCCCTGTGGATTTGATTTAATTCAATTTAGATTAGTTGATTAATTCAACTGCTTAAGGATTATCTTGAAAGAGCAGTTTTACTAAGAGTTGGAAATCACACATTATGAGAGGTCCTGATGGACTGCAGTTCATCAAAAACTGCTCCAGCATTTTTGGGTTCCTTCCATGGGGTCAGTCCTTCAGGAAGAGGCTGATCCAGGTGGATGACAGAAAGTGTGGAGTCAGGTCAAACTCAGCAAATCATCCCAAATCCTGGGGAATACAAATTCTAACCACAGATTCAAGTGCAATATTTCAAAGCACAATAACTTGACACTTCTTTTTGAATGTGAGATTAAACACTTAAAGGAGGCTGCAGGTGTTGAAAATCTCCAAGCTGATGCAAAACGAGTTATTTATTTTCACTCTAACTACAACTCATCCTTTTCTGGTTTTGTTTTGCCAGCCAAACTGTGATTTTCCCATCCAGTAACTGGGAAAATGAAACTAACTTCCCCACTGGGGACCAGCCTCACAGACCTGGGAGCTGGAAGATGTGCTGTGTAGCACACACTAAATAAAACCTTTGCCCTGCAATTCAAACAAGCCTATTTGGTTTTACATCCCCAGCTGGGAGGAAGGTTTTTCCTCATCCATGCAGCTTTCTGCTGCATACACAGCTCCTCAGGTTTAAATGTCAGCTTGAAACCCTGCCCTCTTCTCATCATGATAGTAATCTCCAAGTGAGCAAAACAGAATTATTAATTCTTTCCTTAACAAGTCCCACCCAGCTTCTTTATCCTCACAACCTCTGGATTGGATATTCTTCTTGGCAGGGCCCAACATTTTTTGTTTACTTGCAATATTTTGCATGATTTTTAAACATTTGACTTCTCTTGAACAGTGCCACCTCCTTGAATCCACCACTGTGTATCTACCCACCACTTTTCACTCTTTATTCAGAGTATTTGGATAATTTGGGATAATGATGATCGTGTCCCCTGGCCATGTGCCATCTAACACAGTGGGTGCTGATGCACACATGTGGATTCTCAGAACCATGATCATGGAGACATCACCGAGGGGCACAGGAGGGTGAAGGGTGGTGAAAGGTCATGGCAATGCAAATCCGTGTTTTCTGCAGACAAGCCCCTGGGAGACACGTATGCTGTGATCTGGGTGGCCTTTAATGACAGCTTTTCCTTCTGGCCACGGATTTGCCAGGGTCTGGCAGCACCTCTGTCTCAAACTGCCCTTTGTGATGTGCCCTTGGCATCACCTGCAGCTCTGCTTTATCAGTGTGGCCACTGCCTTCACCCCAGGACAGATCACTCAGTTCCCAAGTGACCCCTCCTCCACAGTGGGAACTGCTGTGAAACCCTGGAGAGAAAATCTTTGATCTTTATTAGCATGAAAATAAAGACTTTTTGGAGGCCACCCTTCCCCAGCTGCTCTGGCCAAGCGGAGCTGCAGCCATCGCTGGCAGTTCTGGGCATGCCAAGGGAATGCTAACACGTGGTAGGGGATTAGGATGACACAACTGTTGGAACAGCTGGCTAGGCTCTGGAACAGGCAGCTGCCTGTGGTGTGGCCAGCCAGGATGGCTTATGGAATCACCTGTTGCTCCTCTCAGCCCTCTTGCACACCCACATGTGTGCAAAACTGATTTTTCATTGCTATTATTAAAAGCGTAATCTATTCATGCAAGGGTGAATTCATTTGCTGTATGAAAGACATGATTCAGCTGGGGACAGTCCATACTACTGCTTGCACCTGCATTGGTCTTCCCTTTTCCTCACACAGCCTCAGTGTGGAAGAAAACAGGCAGTGGGAGAAGTCCCACGTGGTCAGTCCACAGCCTGTTCTAGCAGGATGGTTGAGACCAGAGGCTGCTGTCTGCAAAGGAGCACAAACACAGATCTACCCAACAGCGTCACAGCTGTCAGCAGATCCTCCCCAGGATCTCCTTTTCTGCTTCTCTGGCCTTGACCATGAAGTAGTTGATCTGAGCTGCTCCCTGCAGCCTGCTGAGTCCACAAGCTGCCGAGCAAACACTCCCTGTTTACTTTCTATTGCCTGTGCTATCTCTCTCCCAGCAGCACAATTATCTGCTGTATGTATAATCCACCAGCCTCTCTGTAAAACTGCTGTGTTTATGGTTCTAACAATGAGAACTCTTCCCTGACGTTTCTGCACTCTAAGGAGGCATTGGCAGGAGGATGGGAGATGGCAATACTCCATGGTGAGGGAATGAGAGGATTTAGACAAGCCACCAATGTAGATGTTGAAACTTACACACACCAGTCTGCTGGCTTGTATCTTTATGTTGCCACTTTGGGCTGTCCCTGATGATCTGGAGAGAGGCTTTAAGAGTGTGATAACCACTCGTCCTAAAGTGAACAGTGGCAGGAATCCATCCAAAGGCAGAAAGCAAACCAGGAAGCAAGGAACCTTGTTGTGTCACAATGTATCTCCAAAATGCTTTGCTGAGCTCAAAATCCACTGAATCCTGATGTTTTGCAAAGTGAGGATGCTTTCAGGAGTTGGAGTTGATCTGCAATATGACAAGGGATGCCCATGCAACCAGCCACCCACTCACTGAGGGTGAGAGCTGGAGCTGCTCCCGTGCTCACCCTCCGTGTGGGAGGATGGGGATGGTTTCTTCCTCTGCTGCCCACCCAGTCAGGCTGACAGAATAGATTCTCTGACCTAGCAAATTAGTATGTAACATAAAACTCATGATAAGGGAGGACTGTGACCCCATCTGCCATGCAAGTACTTCCAAGAAAGGTATAAAGGGTACTGCAGGTCCATGGCCTTGGCTCTGCCCAAGGTGAGATGTGCAAGAAGACCTGCTGAGGTCAAATTGCCTCTTTTAAGAGGAAGAAAAAAATCCATGAAGGAAAGTATAAGTGTCCTTCTTTTCTCCTAAAAGAAACCTCAGTGCTGGCATTCAGGGAGACTGCAGGTTACTGCAGCTCCATCAGCCTGCTCTGCCACAGCCCAGCTTGCCCACAGGGCTCAGCACGGCTGTCTCCACCATCACAGCGCTGAACGTGCCTTTTCTCAGCTGGCAGGGAAGAAAATGTGCTGGAAAGCAAAGATAAAGGTTTAAAATTCAAAGAGCTCAAGGCAAATGAGAATGCCAGGGGAAAAACAAGAATCTTAGTAAAGGTGCGCCTACTGTACCTTCGAGCACAGAGGAGGGAACATTTGTCAGCTCAGAGGTCAAAACAAACCAGAAAGAGAACATGTCTGGGTTAGCAAGACAGGGAGGAGAAAAATATTTAGTCTTGAGCAATCAGAAGTATTTCGTTGAACCTGAACATTC